CAGTATTCCTAATACTTTTTTTTTAAATCTTACAATTTGTATCTATAATGTTCAAGAATACAATAAAAAGCTCAAATAGCAAGTTTAAAAGAATTATTATATTTTTTATTTTCTAAACATTATTAGTATTACAGAAACTAAAATAGCAGAAGACAATGCTATTACCAAATTTCATAGCTTAAACACTACTCTTACTTCTGAATATGTATAAACAGTTCAAAAACTAAAACTATACTTATGATTCACAAACAACTTACATTTTACATCCACAATATCTTTACTCTTCTTGACTATGCTATCATTATTGATCTTTTTTTCAAACATAATTATAAATTCTGTATTATCTTTATATATTTATTATGTAAAAACTTACAACTAAAACTTCAAATACAAAACATTATTATTTAATAGATCCAATAAACAACTAACCAAACATTCTATCTATAATATTAGATAACTTTAATATGCCATCTAACAATTTATCTTCTTATCAATCAAATACAAATTATTGCAATTTTTATAATACAATAATATTTATAACTTAGCAGATTATACAAATATCTTTTTATGTCTATTATAATAGTAAATACTACAGTACTATTAATTATATTTGGGCCTACTTTTTTTTACTCAAATATCTTAATTTATTTTACTTAAATAATGCAAAAAACTGCATTCAAAATGATTACAAAATTCTTATATTCTTTTAAATATTTTCTTATACTCTTATAGACAAAAACAGATATTTAACCAGAACCAAATACAGAACCTTTAATTACAAAGCAATGAACAAAAAACAATAGAAAATTTTTGCTAATTAAAATTTTCTTAACTTTACTATAAACAAAACTTTTTGCTTTATTTAAATTTTTGAATCTCTCAAAACCACCTAGTATAAAATTCAAACTAATGTTATTAATACTGTTACTAAATATATTTTTAACAAAAAAAATAACAATTTGCAACTTTCAATATTTATTTTTAGTTAAAGCAACTTTACTTTATCTAAATTTTAAAAAACTTAATAACATTATTAAACAAATTAAAGCCTTTTTAACCAACTTATTACCTATATCTATACATCTTAATTCTATTATACTCTATCTTAACTTAATGCATTATCTTAATATACCTCTTATACTCAATTCTTATAAGTTTATACCAAGCTGAATTACTAATACTAATTCTAAATATAACAAACCATTATGATATTAGCAAATTGAAATAATATTTACTTATATGAAGATAATTGTTCTGCTTTGAGAGCTATTCTGTTGAACTTCATCATCTTATAAATAATTGTGCTAGTTTAATACTATTTTTATACAATACGTATTTAAACAAAAATGATTGTAGACAATGCTTTATTTATTTTTTATCTAATAATTAATATTTAGATAATTCTAAATGTCTATTATAAAACAAACAATAATTGTTATAAGTCAAATAGTCATAGTACTTTGTGGCACAGTAGTTCCGTGATCATGTTTTTCATCCATTAGGCACCTATATGTAATATTTTTTAAAAATTAACCTTCATGTGTAATTATTTTTAATTTAGGTCAGTATTTGTAATTATTTTCACTTTCTGGGCCCTTATTTATCCCCCCCAAAATATACATCTTTCAATAATGAATTAATTAAATTTAATTAAATTATCAATAACTTTATAATAACATTGTATAATGATTCAAAATTGTCTGAAAATAAAAACTTTGCAAAGGTTACTTTTAAATTGTTTATTCCTGTTACATCGAATGTTTAAACCAGTATTGACAGCAATAGATGAATAGAACAATAAAAATTAGAATAGAATATAATTTTTATTATTAGAACAAAAATTGTCAACTACTAATTATAATTAGTCTTAATAGCAATAGAACAAAATAATAAAAACTAAATAGAATATAATTTTATCAATAGAACAAATTGGCAACACTAGTTCAAATGACTGTTCTACTTCAGATGTCTATAATTCACATCATAATGTAATGGGCAACATAAATTTTGGCGAGAGGATTAAGAACATATCACTATTTTATATTCGAGTCGAATCAAATGCTTGATAAATAATGCAATTGAAACTGTCTTTGATTATATCAAGATCACAGGGTATATAATAACTGTATTCTAGGCAGTTAGACATATAGTTGGCGGTAGAATCATTGAATTACGGCATTTAACCAGATGGTAAAATTAATTACGGCACAATACCTGATTGCCGTAATGCCGTAATGCCATAATGTCATAGTATCGAAGCAATTCTTGAATGTGTACCAGGTTTGTGGCACAGCAAAAATTCTTTAATTAACCATAGCTGCCGCAGCAAAATTGTCCTTGATTTTGATAACATACCAATCTAAAAAATTTCGCTAGCCAATCATATTTCGAGATCAGGTGCAACGTAAAAGAAGTGCCTATGAAAGAAATTTCCTCGGGAAATTTTACTATAACTATAGCCATTTAAACCAAATACTAACTTACTGGTGGGACCCTAACCCTAAAATAATTGCGAAATGCTTTTTTCTTGGCGAAATTTTTTGATGGGATCACATAATGAGCGAAATTTTTTAGATTTTGATTGGCTAACGGGCGTGGACCTGCAAAATTTTGGCCCGCATTACATAATTGTTTACTAATTTCTGGCCGGAATTAACTTTTTAACATTTTTATTCTCAAAATAGAAATTTTCAATGACATAGCCCACAAAATGGTAAAATTAGCCAGGGAACAATTTTCACTTCATGGGCGGCTGTGATTTCATTAGTAAAATTTTGAGTAATTCCGTCAAATTTTTTGATCGTCGATCAAACGGAGAATCTGCCGTGACAATTTGTTGTGCGTAACAAATTTTTTAAAGTTCGTTAACAGTAGGGTTAGTGTTTAGAATAAACTTAAAGACCGAATGATTATATAATAAAAATGACTCAAGAATCTCTTTTTGTTAGAGTACTAAAAGTGGTTCTGTACGTGGTTGTTTGAGAAATATGCAATTTTTGACAAAACAAACGTTTGTTATTGATCGTATTACGTTACACCAGATTCTTGAAATATGATTTGTAGATGGGAGATCTGCGTCACAATGATTACTTATTTTCATTTTCTGGCCCTTATATGTAAATTCTTCAAAAAATAATCATAAATCTTTATTATATGAATTATGATATATGACACTATGTGTAACAATATTTATTCGAAACGAGACCGCAAATACATTTTCTAAAAAATTCAAATAGTTATTCAGCTTTAATTGTGCGATGAATTGACACCAAACTTGGTAAAAAGAAGTCTTACAAAATTACGCTAAAATATTTGTACTTATACATCTTAAAAAATATATATATTAAATTTTGTATATACCAATTCTAAATACATTTTTTTAATTGAAGATTTTACTATAGTATTCAAATCCGAGAACATAACTTCTTAATGATGCAGTAAAGAGTGAAAGATGTTAGTATTGAAAAAAACATTTACTATTAAGCGTTAAATATCCAAAAGTATTTTAATATGAAGACTGTGAGACAATTTTTTTGATCAAAAAAAATCTCATTATACAAATATCAATGAGATTAGACATATGTTTGATTATATTAGATGATTGACCACTTAAACGTTTCACGTATCCACTCCTAAACCATAGTATCAACGTGAAGGCAGAAATTCAGAATTAGATTTAGAAGCTATAGGAATGAACTTGTTTTAAATACAAACATCCGAAAAAAGATGATGATTTAAAACGAAAAATATAACATGTATACATATAGAGATGGGCCGCATTTTTGCTGATCATTTATGCAGTTACCATGCTGCAGTGTATAAAATCTATGTGTATAATATGCTCAGAGCACATGTTTTTAAAAGGTTCACATGCTTTTAACTAGAAATGTGCACGTAATTCACAGACTTTGAACTACATATAGCACCAAAATTATTATTGACTTTTGGGTTCAGATCTTATACACTGCCATGCAGTCAGATGAATTCATAAGTAAAACATATCGATATTTGGTAATCTGCATGGTGATCCATCTTTATGTAGTTACACATAAATTTCCCATTTCCCCTAGCGTTACCAACCTAAAAATTCGCCAAAATTTTTTTTTGCTGTTAGATTAAGGTTAGTTAGTGCGCAGAAGGTGGTTTCATAGGTAAAATGTTGAGGTATGACCTATTTTTTGGATTGCTTTGATTTTTTGTTTTTTTCTGCGTCACACCTGATCTTGAAATCTGATTGGGCTGCGAAATTTTTTAGGTTGGTGACACTTGGACAGGGCGATGATTTTCTGTGGTGCTAAAAAAAAAAAATTCTGTGTATGTAGAAAATAAATTCTGTAATGTGATGTGATCAATTTTTGAGGATTATGTGCAATTATGCGGTGTAAAATAACTAATTATGTGCTAGAATGTGCCTAAATTCTAGCAAACTTTATTGACAATCCATATGGTTCCGAAACTTATAAATTCCAAATAAATTATAGGTTTCAAATTATCGGTTTCAAATTTGGTGGAATGTAGACTTTGGTCTCGTATACGATCATTTTTATTGTTCTTATATATAAAATTTCAATCACGCTATTTTTAATCAGTACACAGTTACTTTTATATCGCACAACTTTCCGATAGTCATTATTTTGTTAGTGGATTTAGTGACCTATCGGGGAAAACTGTCCTAGTGCAGGGCCGATGATTTCTGTGTTTCACATAATACCACAGAATTCACAGAAATAGGTCTATATCTCAGAATATGCTTATTTCACCGCAGAATACCACAGAAAATAGTAAATGATGTAGAAGGATTACATAATTTAACCACAGAAATCAAAAAAATACTAATTTTAGAAAGTGGGTGATTTGGCATCGGTAACTGTCGGAAATGTAGGCAATTAATGAACATGAATTACGAGCAAATTGGTCGGAAAGCATTCTAAGTTTTTGGGAACAATCCATATTTAATTAATAGGAAACTTGCGATTCATTTACTATCTAAATAGGATTCTATGGCCATTAACGGTAAATTATTTTTTGAATTAATTTCTCTTTTTAGTTTGCACTAACTATATTGAGATGTAGAGTTCGTATTACGCGCTCGTAAAAATAAACTCTGTTCTGATAATTGGCCACATGCACATCGCGTTACACTAAGCAAGTAGTTATTAGGACATTCTTTGGTATGTATTTACTTATCCACCGTAAGTCTTTCGCTGCGTATACTCCGGACAATAAGAATACATTAATGTATATATTCTAAATTTGCATTTACCCCTCAGGAAATTGGTATAACTGTTTACTCAGCCATTTAAAAAAGAAATATATAGTACTCTATTCTTGACGCGTTATCTTTTCGCGTATTATGATTTCCATATATGCGCCCTTTATTTGTTTATGATCATCGTAGGACAATCTTATTTACGCCGAATGTTTTTTTTCGGTAAATTTTTTTCTACAGTATGAGACAGGAAAAAATACATACGTATTAACAATTTATTTTTATTTATTCATTAAACGCCAAATTCCTAAACAAATACAAACTTTAAAACTAAAATAACGTTGTAAATTATCAAAAAATATATATATATAATCCATTCTAACAGAATTGTAATTTAAACAAGTATGTTAAAAAAAGATTTTGATTATATTGTAAGTTATAACACCTCTTATAAATTATAACACTTTTTATAAATTATATTCGGGCGTATTTTTGCAATTGGGCCAAAATCAAAAACCTCGAATTACTATTTGATTATTACATGACATATACGTCAACCGTATGGCGCATCTACTAAACTGAACCTCAAAATCAATAAAACTAATATAATTATCACGTCAAACCATCTTCCGACCTTAAAACCTATAAACATCTATCATAGCTACGTTATAAATTTAGGGTAGTGTAAAAAGTCGCCCTAATGATAACACTTTTTATTAATTATATATAATATATTGGTTGTTTGTTGCAGTCCTGTACTGTACAATTTTTCTTTTACGATATCCACTGGTAGAATTTCCAATTACCTATAAGATTAAAGCGTCATTGAACTTTCTTGCCTTTTTCAACAATTTAATTACGGAGTAAATGTTCGCGAACTTTTTAATAAATAGAAAATTTTATTCATAGACTATTCATAAACTTTTCATAAAACTTTATTCTCAAATATGAAAAGGTTTTATTGGAATCTCGTATTGTTAATAGCATTTATACTACTTATAGCATTCTCAGATGTGGTATCGATCTCTGATTCAAATTATATAAGGATTGAACTCTTTAAAAGAGAATCGATTTCACCCGAAAAACAACGAGCATTAATGACCATGAAATATGCTAGATTATTTGGACGTGATACAGTCATACCTTTAGTTAATGAACAAAACAAGGATTTTAGTTATTATAGTCCAATAACAATTGGTGGTCAAAATTTTACTGTTGACCTTGATACTGGATCATCAGATCTTTGGGTTCCGGGTATTCAATGTAGTTCAACGCAATGTGGAACTCATAATCGATTTGATCCTGCAAAATCATCAACATTTGTTCCATTGCAAAGTAATTTTTCCATTTCTTACGGTACTGGTACCGCTATCAATGGTACTATAGGTCAAGATACTGTCATTTTCGGTGGAATTTCAATTACTAATCTAACCTTTGGAATAGCATTAATTGATGGATTTAATAGTTTATATGAAGAAGATGGTATTCTTGGTCTTGCTCGTCGAAATGGTCAACTTTCAAATCCTGGAATTATTCAAAGAATTAAAGATCAAAAATTGCTTAATCAGACCATAATTGGATTTCATTTGGGAAGATATAAATTAAACAATACCGATCAGAGCTTCGTAAATCTTGGAGGCACAGATGCAAATGCTTATATTGGAAATATTGTATATAACAATCTTGCTAATCAGACACAATTGCCGGGGTCTTGGATAATATCATTGAGTAATATTCAGGTTGACGGTGTTTCAATTGGAATTAATTCACCTGCTTTGATAGATACTGGTTTGTATTATTTTTTCTTTGCTTATTTGTCTTTTTAATTTATTATCGACTTTATATCGACTTTATATTAAAACTTTGCCTTGCTTCAATAATTAGGTACCCCAAATATCATTGGTGACACTACTCAAGTCACAAAGATCTATGCAATGATTCCTGGTAGTTCCTCTAATAACGGTGTATGGTCGATTCCTTGCAACACCACAAAAATTATATCTTTAGTGTTTAATAACATATCGTATAATATTAGCCCTACTGAATTAATTAAATCATCAAATCAGAGCGGTTCATTGTGCGAATCGGAGATCCAAGAAGGTGGGTATGGCGTGTGGGTGATTGGTGCTGCCTTTTTATCGAATGTTTATACTGTATTTGATTATGATAATTTAAGAATTGGATTTGCTGAATCAAAAGTTTTATAAATCAAAATTGCAATTTATTTATTGGTTGTAATCCACATTAATAACTAGTTAAATCTTAAATAAAATAATGTATAATTATAGTTTTTGATTGTATCTACTTAGAAAATACATGCACAGTATTAGCAAAGTTGGAAGAAATCAATATCACGTGTAGTTGGCCTGTTTTATTATTGGCTGACCCAAATTAAGCAGTTTGTATAAGGATGTGAGTTTATACTATACCGTATTATGCGATTGGTATAATACCAATAATAGAAATGGGTTAACCAATTAAATTGCTTTATCGCCAATTCCGAAGTTTCCCTTAGAATAGTTCCGAAAAGTTCCGACCAATATTACCATATTAATACTACATTTTCTATTATGCTGGTATAACCACATCTCTAAGTTCGTATGATCAACCACGGGTAAGTACACACGTGCGTGCGCATGTATGTAAACGCCCCTTGCTCATACACAATAAATTGTTGTATTTATTAAGTTCTCCAAATTTTGGTTTTGGCCAATTAGATCAGAGAGCAAGATCAAGTGTAACGTGATGATCAAAACAACAATTACTCTTTTTTGTGCAAAGTTACATTTATTTCAAATATTCGACTAAAAAATCACCTTTGGTGCACTAATAAAAAAGTTTCTTGCAAATGTTACCTAATAACTTTAATTCCAAATCCAAATTAAAATATTATATTTTAAACAGAAGGTAACATGTTAACTGATTTTTTTTAGCATTAAGGTGAGGTCATGCTTTCAAGTTTTTATTAGTATTTATTGTACAACTTTTTACATTATACATTATCTATTACTTAGTATATTTATTTAGAACAGAACTTAGATATATTTATTTATAATCTAAATCTATTAAAGCTATTATATTGTGTTTCATTTACATTTAACCTAGATTTTTGCTTTATATTTAATTATATTAAATAACTTATATATTTTTTTTATATTTTATAACCTATTTTAATAACTTTTAAATTAGTCTATTAGATCAGTTTCTTCTTTTAAACTCTTTTTACTTTTGATATATTTAAAAGATATCTTTTTAGTATATATTTCAAATTAAGAGCTTGTTATTAATATTAACTTTCTAATTTAGATACTGATAATATATATCTTAAATTAGATTTTTAGAGAATAGTGATCCTAGTGTAGTGGTTGGGTTGTCATCCTCCAAGCAGTAAGTCTAATGTTCAATTCCTATCAATGACAAATTTTAAAAAAATAGTTCTATTTTAGCAAACTTATTCGTGATTTGAGGTTTGTAGATTTTGTATTTCTAGTTATATCGAGACTAATTTTAAAAGTATGCAATGTTATACAAATAAATTCAGAAAGTATTTACTTGAATTAGAAGCCTGCTTGAAAATCCTAAGTGGAGAGATAGTACAACTTTTGACAGTGTCACCTGTGAAGATTTTGATCTAAAAAAGAAAACCTGAAGCAAGTGATCTGTATGAACAAAAACCTCTAGATAGTGGGTTCACCAACCTGGCTATTGGTTAATCTAGGCATGAAGTTACATCATGCAAGATTAACTGGATTAGTAGTATAGAAGAACTTGCAAAAGTAGATGAGGTATCAGTAAGGTTATAAAAAGAGAGTACTAGGATTGTATAAACTTTGTAAAAATTGTAAATTAGATTTAGTTATAAATTGGAATATAGAAGGCTTTAGTAACAATGTCTTAAGAATAATCTGCATGAAATAAGCAGAATCTTAAAAGTATGAGTATACATCTAGAACTTCTCAATTGATATTATATAATGAAGATATTCTAGTAATATAGTAAGAATTGCAGTACAGAAGGTTTAAATAAGCAACTTTTGTAGTTGAGTTGCAGATATAATAACTAGTATAAAACCTATATATAGGTGAATTATTTAAATTAGATACCAAAAGTATACATATGATTAGATGTATTCTCTAATGTAAGATAGCTCCTTTAAGGTAATCAGATCATAAGTTGCTATATCTTATTATACTGAATAAAAAAATTCTAGTCTCTAAAAAACTAGTTTAACTATAAAAAAAAAATAAAAAAAATCAGATTTTTGCTATTATTGTATATTTAATTTGCTCTTTAACTATTATTTTTTTAATTAAACAAAATTATATTTTAAGTAATTGCAGATTAACTTTTTCTAGTTATTAGTTATTATAATATTTTTATTAATTTTAATTTAAAATAGCTCAATTCTAATTAATATGGTATGTTTTTTTTTATTTCATTATAAACTTCTATATAGATGTGATTAAAGTTCTAATTTGGTACTTTTAGATATCTAAAACAGTTTATATTTATTTAATCGATTTTTATTTTTAAATATTTTACAATATTAGAACAAGTCAAATCACCTTTTTGTAAGATGTGATAACCTAGAGAAATGGTCAAGTTGTCAACCCTCCAAGTAGTAAATTGGATGTTTAAATTCTATCAATAGTAAAAATTTGGATAATCATCTATATAATATTCATATTATGACAACTGTTACTAATGATTAGGTTAGGATATCTGTAATGGTGGTTGCACCAGTATAACTGGCAGGTCATAGGGTATCTATACAATGTTGGAGTTATATAAAGAAATACAAACCAACAAATCAAATAGTGCAAACACTAGATAAGTCCTTGTAGTTGTGTAAATCTGTTGAAATTGGATAACAAGAAGTCTATTTGGGAAGACCCAAGTAGAGAGATAGCTTGATCTTCAACAGCACTACTATAAAGGCTAGTTTAGAGAAACAGATACCAAGGTCTAATACCTAGTCATAGTAGCCAAACAGACAAGAACTTCTAAATTGGAAGTCTTAGAAATACCACCAACTAGGCCACCAGAATGAACTAGAGGAAAAGAATATTAGGTTGATCTGATATACCAATAGACTGGTCATAGTTCTATATAGACTATCTGGATTGGAAGTTTGGTAAAAAGATAGGAGAAAAGGCAAGAGTATACTAAAGTACTGGGATTATGCTATAAAATAGATGCTGGAGTCTAAGTAAACTCTACAAAAATATAGAAGTTTAATGGTTAGCCCTAATCACAAGTGTTAGTTCTGCCATAGTAATACTCAGATCAACTATAAAAATAGGTACAGAAGGCTTTGGGAGGTTTACTTTGAGAATAAATTAGTCCTAAGGTTAAGATAATGATCTGAGAATTTGGATATGACCCAGTAAGTTAACACAGATTACAGATTTAGAGGGTTTAAAGTAGAACATCCAAGCTGAGGTGTTAGGTATGACAATTGGTAAGGAACCTTCAGGCAGACTTCTTAAATAGATAATATAGAAAAGTTATACATGTAGCCAATTGTATGCTCTTCTGTAGTAGTTTATTAAACTACAATACTGATAAGTAATTAATAAAAGTCAAAAGACCAAAGAGGTCACCTTAACACCAAAAAAAAAAATTACCTTTCTGTTAGAATATAAGTATTGGTTATACAGATTTTAAATAATGCATATAATAGTTTATTTATATATAACAATACTAAATAACTATTACAAAAAAAAAATAATAATAAATAATTCAAATATTTTAGCAATTAAATAAATGTTTAATTAAATTTGAATCAAATAAATTTCAAGCAATTTTTATTTACAGAAAAGTAGTAAATATAATAGTTATTTAATACATCTTAAAAAAGTTAATTCATAGATTGTTTCTAACATCTAATGATTATAAAATATATAAATTTTTGATTTAAAACTTTTATTAATACTGATATTTAATAGCTGTAATTTAGATATAAAATATATAAATTTTTGATTTAAAACTTTTATTAATACTGATATTTAATAGCTATAATTTAGATATAAGTTTACTAATAATTACAGCTATATTCATATTATAAACAAAAAACTTATTTTACTAATTTTATTAGATGTGTATAAAAAGAATTAAGTATTAAAAAAGATTATGAATTGTAAAATATTCTTCTAAACCACACATTTTTAATTTATTATAACATTTTATTTTTATTAACTCAAATTTTTTTATTTATTCAAACAAAAACATTATTAGAAAAATTCTTTTAAAATGAAGTTTTTCTTTTAAAAACACATATAGGTAGTAGTTTTGTTTTATTAGCTAAATATATAAAAAAATAACAGTAAAATTTTTTTCATAGTCAGTAGTTCAAATACTAATAGTATGAGTTTTTTATATTTCAATTGTTGATAAGTTTAATAAATTAAATATTAGATGCTTCATTCATATTTCTTATCAAAAATAGATGATAATTATATTAAATTTATAGATTAAAAACATAATTAAAAAAGTTATTTTGTTTTTTTTCATAATTTTTAAATAGTTTTTATAAAATAGTTATTTAATAATAAACTGATAAGTCATAATAATTCAAAAACTATTAAGCCAGCTATTTGAAATTTTAAATAATTAAAAATCTAGATAATCTTAAAAATTAGTAACTTGAGTAAGTAAAACTATTTTTACAAATATTGTCTTTTTAGTAATAAAATTGTATAAACATTATTAATTCATAATTTACTTGTATAAAATTTCTTTTATTTGCAAATTATAAGGTAAGCATCCATTATATATCTTGGATTTGTTTGGCATAACTTTTATTAATTTATTTTTTTTATTTATTTAATCATATAATTGATTTGATTAAATATTAAACTTTTTATACATAGCTTTAATACTTAAATTTACTTTAATTTGTTTATAATAAGTAATATTATTTAACTTTTTATAAGCATTTTATCTTTGTTTTAGTTTTTTTGTTATATATGTTTTTGAGATACTTTTATTACTAAAGGTAGTTTTTTTTTAAAAAAAAATATTTATATTATATATATACATTTAATAAAATAATAATAAACTTTCACTATTATAAACTCTAAAATTTTTATCATTAATATTTAAAAAAATAAAATAAAATAAATTCTAAAAATACTAATTTTTTTTAATTACAATTACAAAATTATGATGAGACTACTGAATATAAAAAACTAAGAAACTGAAGAGA